ATTGATAGATGAATGGATGAACAAGATATATCACACACACACACACACACAATGGGATATTATTCAGGCTTGAAAAAAGAATGAAATTTTGCCATTTTCAACAACATGGTCGGAGCTAGAGAGTATAATACTAAGTGAAATAAGTCAGTCCGAGAAAAACAAATACCATATGATTTCAGTCATATTTTGAATTTAAGAAACAATGCAAACAAAAGGGAAGAGAGAGAGAGAGAGAGAAATCAAGAAACAGGCTCTTAATTATAGAGAACAAACTGATAGGGAGATGGGTTGGGGGGATGGGGGTTAAAGAGTACACTTTTCATCATTAGCACTAGTAATGTATAGAATTGTTGAATCACTATATTGTACACTTGAAACTAATATAATACTGTACATTAGCTATACTCAAATTAAAATTAAGATCTTAATGAAATTAACATGGCCCCCAAGCTCAGTGTTGAAGTGCTTTCCTAATGCAGAGAGGTTGTGCTGCCTTGTGGAGAAAGGGTGCATGTTAGATAAACATCATTCGGGCAAGAGTTGTTATGCTGTTGACGATGAACTCAGAGTTCATGAATAACAGTATCGTACATCCAGAAAAAGGAAGAGGAAATTCATTGATCTGTATGTAGGGCTGCTCCAAAAATTCCTAAAATAATGTCTGTGGTGCATGATGAAGCCATGGAAAAACTGGACAATTAGCTAAACTTGTGCATTCACAAGATAATGACCAATAAACAGAGCATAGGGGACAGCATTGTTTTGAGGCTGAAAACCAGATTAATTCATGAGCAGGTCATCTAGGGTCAGGAAAATGGTTAACTCTTCTTTGCTTGTGTTTCATTATAAAGAAATATAAGATGTCTTATACAGAAACATTTAAGGTTACTTACTGATTGAAAATGTTGTGACCAAAGCCTTGTGGGAATCGAACCCAGTATTTTCCTTAGGAGCAATAGCTCAGTATTTGCTAATTCAATGTTCATGGCAACACTGTAGAATATAACTACCACAAAGTGCAGGGATGTATTTTCAAATGGCTATGCTTCCATCATTGGTGAGAGTGCTCTTTTCTCTACCCCAGCTAACATAATGTTTCAAACTTTGATATCTGATAGTTGAATAATGGTAGTTTGCAGTTTTAATTTGCATTACATTTAGTATGAAAAATGTAGAAGAACATCTTTTCATGTTTTGGAGCCACTTATATTCCCCTTGTTTTCTCTTTTTCCTTTTGTCTTTTTCTCATTGATTTGTGGCACATCTTTATGTATGAAGAAAATTAGCTCTTTTTCTATGCTACAAATTGCAGATATTTTCACTAGTGTGTCATTTGTCTCTATACTTTTTTCCCCATATGGCAAAAGAAAATACACATTTTTTTTTTTTTTTTTTGATAGAGAAAGAGAGAAAGAGTGTGAGCAGGGGAGACGGACGGGGGTGGAGAGAGAGAGAGAGAGAGAGAGAGAGAGAGAGAGAGAGAGAATTTTAAGCAGGGTACACACTGAGCATGAAGCCCGATGTGGGACTCGATCCAACAACCCTGGGATCAAGACCTGAGCCAAAATCAAGACTTGGACGCTCAACCAACTGAGCCACCCAGGCACCCCTATAAACATTTTTAATGTAGTCAAATGTATTGATCATGGCTTTTGTGGCCTCTTGGGTTTGTTACAGTTTTAAAAGCTTTTCTTAAGAGATGTATAAGAGTTGTATTTGTGTTTGAAGTTTTGTGATCCTTTGGTGTTGTTAAGGAATTTAATCTTTTCAGTATATAACATTAATTACAAATCTTTCTTTCCATGCTGGGTAAATTTCAAAGCAATAGAACGATGGAAGTTCACCAGGTTTTGGAATCCAAAAGTCCAGTTTGAATTGTAGTTTATGCACTTACTAAAGTGACCTAAGCCATGTTACTTACTTGCTCTTAGCCTCAGGTTCCCCATCTGGGCATTAGTGAGTTCTATTACAAAAGACAGTGCCTGGCACGTGATAGATTCTCAATGTTAGTTGCTCTCTCTCCTGCTTTCCTGAAGCCCTTGACCAAGAAATATTTTGATAAATTAATGTAAGACATATACTTAAATAAATAGGATTTCTTTACAAAAGCATTCTATAATTTAAATTATAAAAAAATTTCTGTTGAGTTTCTCAAGCCAGCCTGAACTAGTAACTCATACATACATACATACATACATACATACATACATACATACATACATACATATTTGAGTTGTAGGTACTAAAAATTGTGTGTCAGTACAATGCACATTGCAAAAATACATTTTTTGGTAATAAATGGTTTTTGGTAATTTGGTAATATATGGTAAATTTTTGGTAATAAATGTGAAAAAAGTAAATGGAGACTGAATTTTTAGACACTGCATTATTTTCTTTAAGAACTCCTAGACTATGTCTAGAAACTTCATTGGAACCCCTTTAATTAAAAAAGCAATTAGTTAATGAAATCAGTCAGTGTACCCAATTTATCCTGTTTCATAATTCTAAATTTTTTACATACTATATTTTCTTAAAGCAGGCTACATTTTTAGAGAGAATAATGCATTCTAAAATCATCAAAATTGTGTCGTAAAAAATAAAGCATAATATGTTTATCCTTTAGTTTCATGACTAGATCAACTATATTTCCATGTATTTTTCTTTCCATGGCTAATTCATGAGCCACCTTAACATGTGGAGCATAAGGAGAAGTCACAGTTTTAGAAATGCCTTAACTTTGTATTTAAATACAATTGCTTTGTCACTACTCTAAGGAAATTCAGTAAGACTTGAATGCCTTTGCTCTATTAGGCAATTTAGAATATCCCAGACCTTGCTCTGGACTTCAAGATTTTTTGTAGTTCAAAGCAGATGTGTGAGGAAGAAAAAACATCTGGTGAAGAGAACTTGCTTCATCGCGTGATGCTGTTTTCCTGCACTCTTCAGCAGAGCGTCTGTTGAGCAGGTTGGCAGGTTTGATAATTAATTAATGATGAGGGAATGAGCCACGTATCTGAGGAACTCAGTTTTGCCCCTTACTGCTTCTTTCTTCCCCACATGTCTGGCAAAGCCTTCAGAGTCTAGGATCACTGATCCCACAGTTGTGTCTCAACTCCAACACTTGTCTTCAGGCTTAATTAGCTCAGAGATATAAACAGATGGATGGTCTGGGACCTAGAGGGTTTAGTGTTGAGCAATGCAGTTTTATTATCAGGGACTTGGAAACTTTTGTTGGAGAAGTACATCATCAAAACTTAAAAAAAAAACCTTAGAATTTTGAAAGTACATACTTGAAGGCGACAGAGCTGTGTGTATCCGTATATTTGTGGATTTCTCTTTTGTCACTTTTTGTTTAAATAGAAGCTCAAACTTACAGGAAAGTTGCAAGAATAATACAAGAGACACCCATTATTCCTTTACCCAGATTTACCCACTGTTTTTATTTTACCCTGTTTGTCTTTACATCCTCACTCCTTCCTTCCCCTCTCTTCCCTCTAGACACACACACACACACACACACACACACACACACACACACACACACACATATATCATACATATTTAAACGTGCTTTTTTTAAATGAACTGTTTGAAGGCAAGGTGGATGTCAGCTATCTTTACTCCTAATACTTCAGTGTATATTTCTTAAAGACAGGCCATTCTTCTAAATAATCACAGTATAGTTATCAAAATCATAAAATTTAATATTGATATGGGATTATTATCTAAGCCATAGTCCCTTTTAAATTTCATCAGTTGTCACAGTATTGTACCTATGATGTTCCCCACCCTCCCCAGACCTATTCAGGATAACACATTGCATTTAGTTGTCATATCTCCTTTACATGGGAATGGTTTTTCAACTTTTTGTGTATGTTTTGACTTTGACATTTGTGAAGAGTTCAAATCAGTCCTTTGTAGTATTCCTGTAATTGAGTTTGTGTGGTATTTCCTCACGCAGTCTGGGCTCTGCAATTTTGGCAGAAGTACCACAGGAGTGGTGGTGTACGTCTGATGGTGTCTTATCAGGGGGCACGTGGTGTTGATTTTTTCTTAATTGGTGATGTGAGTTTCGATCATTTGATTAAGGGGGGGGCCCATTGGTTTCTCCACAGTGAACCTACACTTCCCCTGTTTCTATTTTGTAAGAACATTATGGAGAGATATGTTGAGACTATGTAAACAGCTTGCTCATCTTCAAATTTTCACCCACTCGTTTTAGCAACCGTGATGATTTTCTAAGTCTGTTATTTCTTCTATATTTACTAGTTGGCATTCTGCTGCAAGGAAGAGCTTTCTTTCCTTTCTCTTTTATTTATTCATTTATTTATTTGCATTAGTATAGGTTCATTGGTTCTTATTTTATTCAGTGGTGATAATTCCTTACTATCATGATTTATTTTGATACTTTGGCCAGTGGAAGCCCCTCAGTCTGACCTCGGGGTCATTTTGATAAGTTGTCATCATTCCTTGAGCTTCCTTACTTTCTGACATGCAAAAAGATGTTCCAGATTCATTTTATATTTTCTCTGCCCCAGCCCCAGAACGAACATTCTCCAAGGAATCCTGGTTCCTTTTCATGGAGAATGGTATTTAGAAACCAAGACTCTGTGTGTGTGTGTGTGTGTGTGTGTGTGTGTGTGTGTGTTAAAGGAAATTACGTTATGGAATATTACATGTGCTAAATCATTGTGTACTGTACGTATGAATGTATGGTGCACGTGTGTGTTTAAGTTTACAAGTTTCAAACAGAAGAGCACTTATTTTACATGTAATAATTATAAGTTTTGACAAGAAAGAAATACATTTTTCATTTCACAGTAAATGGCATTACACAGTTTTGAGTTCTAAATCATCTTGACATTTATGAAGGACCAAGTGGAAAGTAGGCAACTGAGTGTGTTAAATATAAAGCTATCTTTAACTGTTGTATTAAAAAGCAAAGATTTATTTTCCATCTGTGATCTGAATGTGCCTACTTGTGTTCTCTTCCACGGCAGTGGAATTTCTGTGGAGCCACACAACAGAGAGCATGTGTGTTGGATACATGTCAGCCCAGGATGGGAAAGCCAAGGTAAGCGGGAACACTGGGGCATAACCTGAAAACCTTGCAGGTTGCATGAACCTCTAACTGGCTAAGTTGATACAAATGAAATTTTTCAGCTTCTGTTGGGCAGTAACTCTGTGATCTTTATGGGAATCTGATTAAGCACAGTTAACGATGCCAAAGAAAAACAGCAGATCTTTTTAGCTTTTAATGACAAAGCAGGGGAGATTAGGAAACACCACCTCCCTTTTATTTTCATCTTGTTCTTCCTCATCTATTGTGAATAATTGGAAAAGAAGAAACTGGGGATTGAGAAGAGAAAGTGGGAGTAGAACTGATGGGCTGACCGGGCTGGGTGATTTTGCCGGGAGTGTTGGAATAGATCAAGGAAACAGAGGGAAAAACAGTGCTTGTATACCACCCTACATGTTCAAGGGCAGAGGCAGCCGATGTGCTTGCACATGCAACTTGTCCAGTGCTCTGGTGTGTTCTGGCATACCCTGGCATGATGCCCTTGTGGGAAGAGTCAAAGGTCTGTGCTCTGGGCAACACGTGCCTGTGGCATGCATCCCTCGGTGAGTCACAACAATCACACAGACATACACAGCACCTCGTGAATTGCTTGGTTTCACTGCACCCACGGTGGGTGAGTCTGGGAGTAAGAAATATAATTTGTGGGTTTTATTTTATACTGGCCTCATGTTCTTCTTGTTCATAAAAGTTTTAGAAACAGCTGTGGCATATGATGTTTACTTGGCATTAAAGTGCCTCAATTGCAAAGCTGTAAAGTTGGGCCACCTCTTTTTTAAAGGACATAATTTATTTTGCATATTGGGAAATATAAGTAAGGAAACTTCTGATACAAACATCCTGATAAATATTGAATCATTAACAAATCAAAGATGCATGCAGCAAATTAAGGGTACATGTCATTTTATTGCTTATTGCTAACCCATCCAGACTGGCCTCTATATTATTCAGCAAGCCAGGAGCATCACAGGGCTTCTGTGAGTACAGCATACAAGAACATTTCATCAGACAAAGATTGACTTATATTTGTCATGGTATTACTGAGTTCTCCTCCCCTTTGTCTTACCCTCAACTAATACAGTTTTCACATTGTATTAGTAGGCTTATTTCATAAGAGAATGCACAGAGATTGCTTTGTTTCATAGTATATACGAAGAAGAATTATAATTGCTCACTTTAAAGGTGATTTTTGAGCTTCAAGCAACATTGCCTAATAGAATTTTCTGTGATGAGTGAAATTATTTATATTTTGTTATCCAGTGTGATAGCCACTAGTCACGTGGGTATTGAGCACCTGAAATATGGCTAGTATACCTGAGGAACAGAATTTTAAATTAGTTTAATTTAAATTACTTAGGGTTTTTTTTTTAATGTTTATTTATTTTTGAGAGAGAGAGAGAGAGAGAGAGAGAGCGAGCGCATGTGCACAAACAGGGGAGGGGCAGAGAGAGAGGGAGACACAGAATCCAAAGCAGGCTCCATGCTGTCAGCACAAAGCCCAATGTAGGGCTCAAACCAATGAGCCGTGAGATCATGACCTGAGTTGAAGTCGGATGCTTAACTGACAGAGCTACCCGGGTGCCTCTAAATGACTTAACTTTTAATTTAGATAGCCACATGTGGCAAAACAGCTACTGTATTGAACATCATGGGTTTAAAGAATGAGTGGAAAAATGGTTATTCAAATAAGTATTTTCAGAACACTCTTTTCTTCCCAATGACAAAATAATTTCCAAATATAAATAAGCCTGATAAGCCATAAGAATGGCTTACAGCCATTTAAGTTTCTCTTACCCCATACATATTGACTCCGAGCTAAAATTGCTTTTTAATAAAAGAACAAGTAGGAGGTGGACTTCAGTATTTAAGCCAGTGTGGTGGGGGTACCATCATGTTATTTAAGTCCCTTGTGTGGAAATGTTCCAGTTATCCCTGCTGGTGGCCTGTGGAAGGCACCTTACTATTTAACATGAAATATGGGTAGTAAAGAGAGTGGAGAGTCCTGCATTGAGCCCAAAGATGTTTGGCCTCTAGTTGCATTGCTTGACATCTGGTCGATGTGGTTTTCATATTGCTGGTAAATTCTCCAGCTGGTAGTCTTGATTGGGCCAACAGATACAGCTGCTCCTCTTGCCTCACTTGTAAATTATGTTTTTGACCTTCCTTGCAGAGAGTTAATCCCTCTCCCTTTCTTCCTCCTTTGAGCCTGTGGCTACAAATGCTTTCCAGAAAGAAAAAAAAAAAAAAAAAACCCACCCAAAACACTAATGCTTTGGCTGTTGAATTCTATTGATCAAAAAACCATCTCTTCTGTCATAAAGGCTGGAATTTTATTGTATTGCAAGTAAGACAATGTTAGAAATGAAAAGCTGGGCTCAAAAGAGAAAGGGGCAATAGCAAAGTTTGTATTCCTTTTAAGAGAGTAAGTAAGCCTTTGGCCTACCCGTCTGGTTTCCTGACTTCAATGAAAAAAATGCTGAATTAATGGTATACCCATTCAGTATGATGACTGGTTTGTAAAACATGTTCTTATATAATGTTGAGGTCCATGGTAGCAAAATAAGAAAGAAGGCATCTTTAAAAATTAAACGGAAACAAAACTCAAAAACCAAACAACAAAAAACACACACATTTTTTAAATTTAAAAACTATTTCTAAAAAGTTCTTTTTTTTTTTTTTTTCCAATTTGGACTTATTGTTACCAACCTCAGAAACTAAACCACCTGGCTATTCAAACATTTTATTTAAGCTAGCTATGTTCAATCCAAGTTAAGTCCTTGAATTAAAGTTCACCTCAAAATCATACTGCTTTAAAAAGAGTGGATAATAAATATTGTAACCAAAATCCATATATGATTTGAATTAAATAGAAGTAGTTTCTTTTACAAATTTATTTGTTTTCTTCTCTTTTTTATAGAACATTCTTTCAATTGTATAATTTAATTTAATTTCTAAGCCTGGTAACATAAGTTAAAGAGATTTTTTTTATTAAACCAAAACTAGGGCATTGATACCAGTTGTATTTAAAAATCAGATTGCCTATATCCTACCCAGATAGTGCCTAATGAATAGTTTTTAATAAACACCCTGTGTGCATGGACTACTGTAATAAAAACAGATGTTAAGACTGCATGGAACTTATTCAAGTGTAATAAGTGAAACCTAGGGTTTTTTTTACTATGTAGAGGTCACTTTTTATAACAATAGTGAAAATACTGTTATAAAAAAATTCATTCTTGAGGAAGAGCAGGCTGTTTTATGATCTTAACATGTCTCCCCACAGAATTCTTATTAGTTGCAGAGAAAAATAAATATAAATGGGGAAACCAGGCAACAACTTGACCTTGTGATCAAAATTAATGTGACTAGTGAGGGGCAGATGGACATCATGTGGCTCTGGATGTGATAACCTGAGAAAGGCACAACATCATTTTTATAGTATTCCATCTGGAAGTGCATAACCTGAATCTAAGCACAAGGAAACATCAGACAAATCTAAAATGAGGAACATTCTATGAAAAGAGAAAAAAAGGACTATATTCTTCAAAAATGTCAGTGTCATAAAAGACAAAAGCTGAGGGAAATGCTCCAGATTAAACAATAGTAGAGTCTTGACAACTAAATGTGATACTTGATCCTAGACTGGATCCTATATGGGAAGGGGGAAATGCTATAAATGCGTTACTAGGTCAATTTACAAAATTGGAATATAAATAGAAGAAAGTGTATCGTTGTTAAATTTGTTACAACTGTACTGTGGTACGTAAAGAAATATTCTCACTCTTAGCAAATACAGACTAAAGTATCTAGGGATAACGGGCCATAATATATACACTATCTTCTTGATAGTGTAAATATGTGGATGGATGGATAGATGGAGAGCAAATTACAAAGTAATGGAGCAAAATGTTATCAATAGGTGAATCTGGGTAAAGGATGTATGGATGTTCCTCGAACTGTTCTGTAATTTTGATATTATTTTTGCATAGACAATTTAAAATGTATTATCACTCTTGGATATTATGGCACATTTGATTAGGTTTGAAATGAATACGTAATGGAATGACGCAGTGCCAGGAAGCTGGAGCCTGGGTTTTCCTTCCACTCTGCACACTTGGTGTGATCACTCTGCTTCTTGGGATCTCAGGAGCCTCATCTGTAAAATGAGAATAAGAATACCTTATTATGCCTAAGTCCTTTCTGGGAGAAGGTATGATAACAACAAAGAAACAAAATCTGTCTCTAAATACAGATGACTGGACCCTATTAACTCCTTGATGTATTATATATCTATATCTATATTTATATCTATATTTATATCTATATTTATATCTATAT